CAGAAGACTGAAAACGTTGAAGATGAAGATGAAGTAGTCGTAAAAAATTAATGCTGTTGTCATTCTTAACCGTAGTCCTTTCGTAACCTTGTGTCGTGATTGCGGTGCTTTGATTCCTGTCTCATTTCGATGATATTGTAAACGCTACTCGAGAAGATCATGTGGTATTTGCTAATAAATTTTATGACGTAAGACTGGGTTTATCAGCAGAAAAAAAACAAGCGTGGGAAACGGGACCCAACGTGACCAAGGACTCAAGGTAAGTCAAAAGGAAGGCGTGAGAGAGGGCTTAGAGGACGCAAAAAGCTGTCAGTAAGGGCGTAGGCCGCGTGCTCTGAACGCGATCGCGACATTTTGGTGTCTCGCGCAGGTCTCCCCATTTTGCCCCGATTTTGCCGCGCACTTTTGCCGCGACACAAAATCAGGTGTCCTGATTTTGCCGCGACACCGATTTCGCGAGTCGCCCACGCATTCAATGGCTAGACATCGTTTTGCCCTGCGCGAGTCAACCGCGAGTGTCTGAGACTCGCGGTTGAGTCGCGCAGGGGATCCGCCCACAAAATAGGCGTTCGCAGCAAAATCCGGTGGACCGGCGCGAGTCATCATTTTGGTTTCGTCCCGATTTTGGTGCGATTTTGTCGCGACGGGCGAGGGGATTTCGAAATAATGCACCTATACGTCAGTTCTTCCCAGCATTTGTTGCTTTTCCTCTTCCTTTTGATTTGAAACTTTCAATTGTTATTTTGTACTGTTCGTACAAAATCTTTCGTCATAAGTGCATTTTTCAAGCGCTAGCTGTAGTTTTTTGAAAATTTCTACGTGAAGAGTTTTTTCTTGATATTCGTGTTCAGCTATCTCCTAAATTGATAAGATTTTCTCATCACCACCGTTAGTACTGTAAGGTATAATTTTGCATCCAAAGTCGCCTATCTTATGTCAAGTACGTGGATTGCGTCAGAAAGCTAGGGAGTTTTTTCCTGATGAACTGCTGTCCCTTTCATCACAAGTTTTTTACCTTTGTTATTCTATAAATCTGTCTTCTCCCAGTTCTTTTCTTGTGCATTCTGAGCTTACATGTTTTCATGTAGTCTGCTACTCCTTTTTCAATTCTCGAGGCTGCCTCATTTTCTTGCTTGTCTTGGGCTGTATTATTGTAATTTCTCTATCTATAGGCCCGTTCTACACGGGATGACAAAGATCGACGAGCGAGGCTCTGATGAGAATACTCCAATGGACACTGTGGTTGCTAACAAGGAAATGATCAGAACTCGAAGTGGCCAAACCAAACAAGCTGTATACCATTCGATGCAGTATAAAATGCTGACTTCGAATCTGTCTTTCTTATCTGCTTCCCGCTTCTGTGGACGAAGCTACAAGCGGTTTTATTGTGAAAATCACACATAAATACAGCGAATTTGAGCACACTGCTGCACTTTTAGCTCAGCTTCTTTCTCAAAAAATTCTAAGTAGCCTAGCTGCATGTTTTGGACCAGCATTAAGGCGAAAGTGGCTCACCACGGCTAAATTTTCAATTTCACGCGTAATTTCTTAGCAAAATAATGGTCTTTAATGGCTTGTAGCTTCGTCCACAGAAGCGGGAAGCAGATAAGAAAGACAGATTCGAAGTCAGCGTTTTATATTGCATCGAATGGTATACAGCTTGTTTGGTTTGGCCACTTTGATTTCTGACCATTCCCTTGTAAGAAAAATAATGAAGGAGTAACTGTTAAGGAGCTGAATCGTCTTATCTCCGATGTACAGGAGTGCCCATTACAGGCAGAAAGTACTTGGTAGGATTTTCACTCATATAAGCCGAATATCATATCAAGTTTTGCTGAGTTTTTTATGTGTGGACAGATGCTTTTCCAAAGAAGTGTCTCACTTTTTTCATTTTTGCAGCGTCTTGGTTCTCGACGTTCACGTGAAAACATTTTCTCATAAAATGCAGAATATCTAGTTTTATCGATTTTTTAAGCGGCTTACTTTTTCAAATTTTTGACGCGTTTTGGTCCTCTTTTCTTTTTTTCTAAATATTTCGTGCAAAGACCATAATTATGTCCTTATTTGACCAGTTTCTGGTAGGAATTGGCAATTCTTGTGACACTGACGTGGCATAGAGCGAACTACGCCCTCAGGCCGTGGCCAGAGTTCGCTCAAAAGCGCCCAAAAGCGCTCAAAAGCGTCCAGCCACCTTTCGCGGCCAGCTGCAGCTGGCCGCGAAAGGTGGCTGGACCTGGCGGCTTTCGTTCCCCCACCCCCCCCCCCCTTCCTTTATCCTCTGACTAATAGGTATCGTGGTCTAAGCATTATATACGGCTTACATTCGGCACGTTCTTGATTTCATGCAACCCTAGTTTATTGGACGGGTGATTTGATTTTCAAATGCCCTTAGCGCTCAAAGAGCGCTCGTTCTTGCAGTAGCGCATTAGAAGCAATCAGTCTATGTATTTGATCGACATGGACAAAATATGTGTCCCAAAAGTATGTATCGTCGACTCTAAAAATCGTGACGACGGTCTGCAGTGCGGCCAGTGCGCGCCGCGCGGCACTGCCGTCTAGTGATTCGCCCAAATTACGTGGAGAAGGTGAGTTCTTGTGGTTTTACTTTTTCTTTTTGCATCTTTTTTGCTTGCAGGAACTTTCATGGCTACCGCAGAGAGCCTACACTGCTGAGAAGCAAGATTGCCTTACATTAAATCGGCAGTGCCGTGCGGCGCGCACTGGCCGCACTGCAGACCGTCGTCACGATTTTTAGAGTCGACGATAATCATTTTTTCATGTTTGATATATTCTTTTCATGTCTTTCGCGGATTTGCACTAGCTTCTAAACGAGCTTTGTGACTTAAAGTATAGCGATCGCTCTTGTAAATGCTTTATGGTAGGAATGCATTGCGCAGTGCCAATCACTTAGCTGCTTTTTAGAAATGAAAAATATCAGGAAATTGTGTAAAGAATTTTTGGGCACGCTGATTTCATATCTTCATTTTTTTACAAGCCTGTAGAGGGTTTATAGCTGGTAATCATGGTTTGAAAAAATTGAGAAAACAGTTATTGTTATCTGACAAGAATCAAAGATGGCGGTTATTCGTAGTCTAGAATTACGGCTGAGAACGAATTTCATGTTTAGAGTCAGCGACATCGGCTCAGGCTAGTTTTTGGATGTTTGGAACCTTTTGTAGGACAAAGCCTTCAGTGATGTAAAAGCCGCTTGAAAGTTACTACTGTAACTCGAGAGTAACGATGAGCGATAAAGGAAATGGGGTGGCGAGCAAGAGGAACGATAGCTGGTGGGTGTCAATAACTCATACTTCGCAGTCATTTTTGGCCATCTGCACACAGAAATTTGAAACAATTCCTTTTTTTACGCTTTCATCTAGACAGGAGAATCGTATAGATTGTGTTTGCTTGAGAATGGAGTGTGAAAATCAGCTGAAAATGTCAAAAAAGGTCTCAAAGGTGAAACTTCAGATATTTTAAGCTTATTACTGCAAGAATATTACTAAATTGCAATTACCACCGGGATTTAAGCAAAACTTATTAGTAAGTTGAGTAGAGCGTTAATTTTATATCTACTACTTTTTATAAGTTCGCAATTTGCAAATTATGAAGGCAAACAGTGCATTGGCACCAGCGGCTGGCAATTGCTATCGTTCCTCTTGCACCACACCCAAGGAAATGGGCATTAACGTCGAAATATATCCACATTTTCTTTGGGCACCTCATATAAGGCCTCCGTTTTCATTTTTAAGCATTGTCATCGCAAATGTTCTTTGTTAGTCAAACACAGTCTGAGTCCCGAGAGTCAGAGATGCGATGGAAGATGCTTTTAGCCGCACCACACATTATACTAAATCTTCTTCTTTTGAGCCAATGATCACGTCTAAGAGGGGGCAACCGCTATGACGATTAATTACCAGTGCCGCAGAAGACTTGAAAAAGTGATGAGACCAGCTGACTAATTTAAAACTTCTGTTTCAAAAGGTACATATACTTACAGCTAGAGACTTTCGAATCGAGTGGATTCCGCCCAGTATTATCAGTTCATGATGGATCCTTAGGATCGGAGAGGGTGGAGGCAGGATGGGTGGGATTGGGTCCGCAACTGAACTAGCCGTCAAAAAGCAGGTTGAGTTAAATTTTCAATTTATCGCAAATTGGTATAGAAATGTCTGGATGCATATACACTGGAGTTAGATACTTGTGTCAAATAGTGTATCACACAATACACGCAATATTTCAAGATATGTCACTACAGCGTGTCAGTTTCCAAGATTTCAAGAGATTTCCTTCTCTCTCTGAGTGATTTCACTGCATTTGTTCAATCAAGATGGATCGTATAGGCGATGAGTGGTCGTGAATCAGCGTGCGTGGTGTGCGATCGCACATGTTAAGATACCAATGTCTGTATTAAGGTACATCCTAAGTTGATATGTTGTTGTGCAGTTGCAATGCGAAGATATTTTTGGGATTCAGAAGTTGAAGGTATTCGCAACCTACAAATTATTTTGTCTTATAAGTATCCAACAAAAACTCAGTTTCTAGTTGTTCAGAAATTTTTTTAAAATTTTTCAGAAAAAAAATGTGAATTGTGCCAGAATCAGAATACTAGACTGCGTGTCAAGAAATCTAATATAGTGACAGCAGAAAAGAAAGAAAGCTACAAATTATTTTGTCTTATAAGTATCCAACAAAAACTCAGTTTCTTGTTGTTCACACTGGCTCGTAGAAGATTGCAGTCATTAGTATGAAGTTTGACGCAAAATGTCTTTATGGTCTCAAAGATTTAGCCGAAGTTCTTTTACAGCGTCGACTAACTTTTGGAAATCTTCTGTAAAGAACGCATTTGCGTGAACATGGCCAGCTTCAAGGTTTTTGAGCCGGTTTTCCTTGGCTTGACCAAATAGTGTTTTTTTCCTTCGCACGTTTATTTCCTCATTCATCAAAGAACCGTTCTTTTCTTTGATATCCAAAAATTCCAAAAAGAATTGGATTGTACTCACCTCCTACTACATCGTTAATTCGTAGCGTAACACACATATCGGAACAATTCTTCACAAACAAGTAGCTTCGATCGAGACTGCAAATAGAAATCACTCGTTCTCCCATTGCTATCGCCGATTTTTAGAGGTTATTTACGGGCTCGGCCATTGCACATATCACCCTTCGATAGCGCGGGTCCATAGCCCCCGAGGGAGCGATATGCGCAACAAACCATTAGCGAGGAATGTATTTTCCCCATGCAATACTGAAATATTGCGCGGTCGGATAAGATAGGCCCGGAACGAGATGAGCCGTCAGTGCGAAAAAGTGAAGTGCAGCGCGTTTTTTCCGCGCAAGTGCTGTCAATTCAATTCTTATCCGCTGCGGAGAAACTCACTTGTTCCGATCGCAGTGCGGGTCGAAAGACAACGGCTTGCGATAGAGGTGCGAAATGTACGGGTAATGGTCCTCCAGGTATGGACTCATGCAGCTGTAGCATGGTAGTCGCAGAGCTGAAAAAACTACAATGAATGATTAAAAAATGTCAAAGACACGTAGTCCACCCAAACTGATGTTGATGAGATTTTGGAGCCGTATGATAGGCGGTTCTTTTAGCGAACAAGAGAATGGCCAGAAGTCGAAGTGGCCGATGTTCTATATAATGGTATGCAGCTTGTCTGGATTAGCCACTACGATTTCTGAACATTTCCTTGTAAGCAGTCGCTCAAGTCCCGCTTCAAATGGTGAATTCCGCGAGAAAACAGCTCCAGAAGGCAAGAGCGGCCCAGGTGACTCCGCCCATCAACAAGGATGGTTTAAAAATAACAGGTCCAAAATTGAGCTGTAATGCATTCAGAATCGTCACAAATTGCCCTATATTATAACTATCAGATTCCAGACATTTCCACCTATTTTGAAGCTCAAGTTTGGACTTGCTAATCTTAGAACACCCACGTTGATGGGCGGAGCCACCTGGGCCGCTTTTACCTTCTGGGGCGATTTTTTCGTTTCGGTACTCATCTTTTGCAACGGGAGTTGCATGATTACCTAGTTAGGAGCCCCGCTATATACACAATCAAAACCAGAAAACCTCAAATTGAGTGGACGGTACATTTTGGTACCCCCTCCAAACCCTGGAAAAACCCTGGGCAGCTTTTCGGTAAACATAGAGACGAGGCATGAGATGGGCGCGATAGCAATCATTCGACATAACCCTGCCGCTGCCTAACCAATTAAGCGTTTGTTAGCTTTTTATGGGCAATCGTATTATCGCGGAGGAAATAGGTGTTAGAAGAAGACTCGAAGCGAAGCGTATAGTATCGGCAAATTCATGGCAATAATCTTCTCAATGTTTATTTGATCATCTACTATAGCTTGGAATTCTGAAAATTCAAAAAAAAACGTGAGAAATCGCTTATTGGATTGATGGGATTCACAGATTGCTTGAAGTTTCGAGAATTATCAGGTTGATGCATGCTTACGTATTATAATGTGAATTCATAACTTATAAAATTTATAACTAATATTCATGGCTCTGTATTCCTGGAATAGAAGAAGTTCTGTGCATCACGACAGTCATTTAGACGCAAATTTTCATTATAATTATGGTGGGACGAGCAATCTTCCATAAAGGGCACATTAAATTTCATGATTTTGAGTTTAGTCGTGAAAAATATTTACTAGAATGCTCCTCGCTAGCTCAAAATCTAAAAAATTCTCCTACATAACAGTAACCCATGCATTACTGTGGCACACTTCAATCTCGTATGAAATTGCAAAAACCAAAAATTGTGAAAAAGTCCTTTTATAGAAGAAATTTTCTTATGCATTTTCTTCCCAAAAACGCAGACCAAGACCAGAAATTTGATCTACTGCTTACCTAAGACATAAGTTTTTTCTCTGTGTTAAAGTATAGTTTTGGAAAAAGTGCAGTAGCGGGGTTTTTCCTGCAAAGTGACTTTCTTAAGAATTTTCTGTTCCTGCATTTTTATGCAAGTCTGAAGGTTGCCATAATAATGTATGGACTACTTCTATGCAAGAAAAATTTGTAGATTTGCGACCAAACTCAGGACCACGAAATCAGATGTGCGCCGTTTTCGTGAGCTTGTTTCTCCACGGCTAGCCTAAGAAAAGTTGCATAAAGCGCGAGACTTCTTCTATTTTTGGAATACAAAGCTATAGTTTTAAGCATAGGATTCGGAAAGTTATTGTGTTACTTCTGAATTACGCAAAAACTTCTTCGTCGCAACATTATTTGAACTGTCTACGGTTATCGCACATCTGTGGAAAATATATCTCAGAAATACTATCTAGTTATTGACTTAATTATTTTATTTAGCCCTTCTGTTCAAAATTTAATATGTAGCAGCCCTTTTACACAGAGCATCAAATCTCTACAAGTATTTTGGTAATTTCTTCGCATTCTTCAAACTTATTCGATGTGTTATCGAATAAACTTGTTTTCAGATCCAAGCTCCACCTTACTTTCAGATTGGTTATGTTCTAGACTATCCATTTGTGATCATGTGTGAGAATAGCAGCTGTCCTTCCTTGAAAGCTGGATAAAATTGTGCGGATTGTAGGTCGCAGATGCGCACAAATCTAGTCAAACGTCTTTTTTCCCTCACACAGAAAATGAAGCGGCATATGAGACGACTGCCAGATGTTTGATGCCAGAGAGGTCCCATTACGGTTCAAACTACACCGCCAATATTTTCCACAAGATTCTCCACCCTCCCCCCCCCCCCCCCCGCCTCCCCTTGGCCCTAGACATCCCATACGCATCCGATGAACCACTCCAAGCACGCTTGAAGTGTTAAGAGGATAAAGGCGGCCGAAGAGAACGGCAATTGCCATCGGAGCGCGTTGGACCAAAACAAGGCCCCGATTGCTTTGCCCCTCTTGACACCTCGCAAGTTCGAGTGGGTGACATATGTGAGATAAACGAAGAAAATCAATCTGGGTGCAAATGTAATTTTAGAAAGTCGAGCTTTGGCACATGGAAGTTGTCAATTTATCTCAGAACTATAATATTTCCAAAAAATAACGATTATATAGCTTGAAAATTTATAACCTATTATATTTAGTGGTTAGTATAGCGTCGCCTACAACATTTGCGCGTGAACAATGACGGTGGACGCCATGACAAGATTTTACGTGTAAGTCGCAAGCGAGTTGACGGCATTGACAAGTATGACATTGTTTTCGCGCAAACGTTGTCGTCACCGCATTGGCACCACATTCAAAAAGTGAAGTTTTCAAAAGTAGTGATTACTACATATTAATCTTTATCCCTACGCAGAGGTTCATACCTTTGGCAACGCAAACACATTTTATAGCTGGAATCTACAATTTTCCAAAGACTATCAAAACCTCATCCCCTTTCTCCTCCCACTCTTCACGTTCGCGTAAGAGCCGTACAAACTCTTTATTGTCCACGGATGTCCGTAGGCGATTCGATTAGGGGCGCTTTTGTCGCCAAGCAATAAATTACGTTGTTGCTTAGGAATAAATCCGATTGAACTATGCGTTGAGCAGCCGATGCAGCTAGGAAAAACTCTGCCGAACACTACTGGCAGCTATTATTGGATGACGAAGTGTCTGCAGGTGTAGGACGGCTCGGCTCTGTTCGAGCGGACCCCTCACTGCCGGAGAATAAATCTGAATAAATCTCCATGGAGAGGAACACAACTAGGATAATCCATCGGCGGGCTACTGCGCACTGAGTATGGAAAGAAATACGAGGAGTTTCTCTTCGAAAAGAAGATTTCGAGGAAGTCGAGTAAGCTCTGTACACTTGCGAAATTTAGGCTCTTCAGAAGGTTCATGATCATAATTTTCAGATGATAAGCATCATGGCTAGTAAAATTACCTGGTAGTCGAGTATTTTCTATTTTAAGGCTATAAACAATTTTTATAACCTGAATAGACAACCTAGTCACAACTATCATATCTGAGAGGGATGGCACAATTGTACCATAGCCCAAAACCGGAGAGAGCTGGTGGCGGATCGAGGGAGGAGGGGGGGGGGGAAGGGGAAGGATAAAAAAGTGCAACGGACTTGCTTGAGTTTCAACGATCAAAATAATATTTGGAATTTTTCAAAAACTGGGAAGTCTTGTAAAAAAAATTTGTTCGGGGTGACAGTCCCACTCAAAAGTTGCATCCCACAAGCTTCTTCGGAAGGAGTGCCGCGCCACGCGCCTTCTTTTAAAAAATCTGCTCCACCCCCTCCCCTTCCCCCCCCCCCCCCCTCCCCGCTCCTCTCCCTAAAAATTTGTCAGACCGCCACTGTCCGGTAGTATCGAGTATAAGCTGGTTGACTATTTTCAATAATTTGGGAGCTGGTGCTTTTGTCTCAATAAGATCATAGAAGCCAATCAATTTCAGAGACTACAGGCATTCACATCAAATTTTCTGAATGCTCAATATATTGAGTTTCAACCATAGTACTAAATCACTCATAGTTGTAAGAATCAAAATCTTTTAAGTTGAAACGGTAGCAGCAACCAAATCCAATGGATAAAAGCGAAGAATCATGATGGAAATAAGAAGCGGAGAATAATACTATAAGTAGATCAGAATTGGTTGAAAGTATTTATTTCGAAATCAGTGAGCTATTTTATTGAAAGAGAAAATGTGCGACTTAAAGTGAAAGCATTATTTTTCTTGCTCTCCTGAAAGCTGGGATGAAAAGAAGTGAGAAAAGATTTCTGCATCACTAAGACCATACTAAAATAGTTAGGAAAAATATTGTTCCAACAATTTTCTGTGATGTATAGGTTTTTCTGCTAAAGACAATTTTCTCAGGTTCAAGTTTACTGCTAATATATCAACGAAGAAATGAATTATTGTTAGGAGAAACGTATGCGGCCTTGAATAATTGCCAGCGTAATTTTGGTAGCAAAGTTAATAGAATGAAAATAAACGAGAAAAACTAAGAAAAAATGAGCCTTAGTCCTTAGAATACTTTGACGATAATTTTAACTGGACATTGAAGCTGTAACAAAATCTGACCCCCAAGAAAACTTCCAAAAAAACTACCAATGCCGACACCTCAACACACTTACTGACCTTCTCTTCACAACACCTTCCCCCCCTCCATATCTTCTCTATTTGCATGCATCCCTATTTGTATGCAAACAAACCTGATGTAAAATCGGAAACATTAGCGAGAAGATAGGAGAAAAGCTGCAGCACGTCGGCTGCCATTCAGCAGTGAAACAGTGGACGAAAATGAGAAGCTGTAGCTCTTCTCTATCGGCTTGATTCTGCTCTCACTTCGCCGTCCACGGATGGCTGGGCTGAGGCCCGAGTGGGAATTTGGTGTGAGTGAGTGACAGGGCTCTGGAGGGCTAGATTCAATTCGCAGTGCAGTTGGTGAAAAGAGAAAGAAAAGCCCGGACACCAGGCACCACCATCAGCTGAAAAGGCTGCTGATTTGCCGTCCGTTTCGACGGCACTTCTGCCAAATTCCCGCTTCTTCCGTTGTTGCTTCCATTCAGCTCACTAT